TATATTTCTATTGAACAATTCAGACTTAGAGTTCCATCATGTTCAGACTCCCAACCGGACTCTAGGATCTAGTACTTGAATTGGCAGGGCAGGGCAGGGCAGTGCAGAGGGCTTCCACCATCATTGTCTGGAAAAGACCAATATACTGCAAGCAGGGAGGTTGCTCATTACATAGTATTTGAATATGACAACACAAAAGGATCACCACCAAAATAATGACCAATTTTAGCAGGAAGTAGCAGAAGGCGAAACCATCGGTCTCCATCACCAGTCTCAAAGTATGGCAGTAATAATTGACACTAGTATTAGTATTACAGAAGTCCACACCAATGTCTACATATGCTTTCGAAAGCTGTGTCACACGGTAAATAAGAGCTGCATAACTACCTATCTACAAGGGGAAAAGATACTCATTCATATAGAAGAGCATCATTCAAGATTCTCAGGCCACAAGGAAGAAGGAGATAGACTCCCACCGTAGTTGGAAGTGCTACAGCCAGCCCCACCATTTCCCCATGAGAAATCGCAAAGCGGAGGAAGAAGAAAGGGAGAAGAAACCTCATAGGCTCTCATGCCGTTCCTCTCTTCCTCGCTGAGCACAACAAAAGAGGATTCCTCGTTGATGGCACTGCCCAATGGCTGCTCAATACTGTATGACATCCCGGGAAAGCAGTGGTGGCGAGCTTGTGAATTAGACGCTGGTGAAGGGCCAGGAGAAGGAAAAGAAGAGAGAGATGGAATTGCTGTCTCCAACAGTTTCATGGGTTCCATCGTAGAAATGATGCTGTCAAGGCTGTTCACGTTGCCACTGCTGATACCTACCGTTGCTGAAGGCTGGAGAAGGCTATCGAGGAACTGCAGCGTAGCCAGTGCACGAGCCGCCGCCTGCAGCTGAGCTGCATGCTCTTCCCGCGGTACCCTTTCTAGGAACTCTTCGTGAACTGTGTGGGATAAATGTTGCTGCAGGCCGGCGATAAGTTCTTCTGCCCTTGGTCGGTGTGTCCTGGGATCGACGCCCATGCGGATGAGCTTCTTCTTCAAGCAGGAGTTCCAGAAGTTCTTGATGTCATTATCGGTGCGGCCGGGAAGGTGGGCGGCAATAGATGACCACCTGAGGAGGAAGAACAGGAGGAAAGAGGTAAGGTTCATATACGGTGTTCTCTTCTTTTTGTGTGTGTTTGGATTCCAAGTGATGTCAGGAAAGGGTTAGAAAGCTAAGGTGGTACTTGTTGCCTAGGATGGAATGGAGGTGAACGATGGTGTCCTCTTCTTCTCGGGAAAACTTCTCTCTCTTAATATCTGGCCTTAAATAGTTTGTCCACCTTAGCCTGCAGCTCTTACCACATCTATTGAGTCCTGCATTCAAGCAAACTTTATCATCATTACATGTGTCACAGAAAGTCGATAGATAGATAGAGAGAGAGAGAGAGAGAGAGAGAGAGAGAGAGAGAGAGAGAGAGAGAACCAGCTAGTTTGGGGAGGGCTATCCAGCAACCATGGCCATGGTTTTGGATGTGCTGGATGAGCTTCTGGTCCTCTTCAGAACTCCAGGGGCCCTTCTTGAGACCATGCTCATCACAGCATGGAGATCTTCCCATGCTTTCTCACTCTAATGTTACAACATATGCTTGGTCTCGATTTGGAAGGCCGTCATTTATACACCCACTTTGTTTGTTGATCTCACTATAGTTTTGAGAGTGACACCAAGAACGAGAAGTCACCAGTATCAACTTCATTAGTGAAACAAAACAGCCACTCTCCTTTGCTACGCCAACAAGCGTATGCAAGAACCAAGAGACCTCAAATAAGTGTATATCCATTGCTGGGAAAAGGAAGCTCGTGAGATGAGACATAATCAAACCACAGTTTTCTTACATAGCAAGCAGCCCATGATGATCTTTAGGTTATGACAGTGCATTTCCTATTCTGAAGTCTTAAATCTTCCAACATATTCAAAAAGCATTTAGACAGTAGCAATACTATTTTCCATTGTTCATCATTAAAGCTATTAGGACCAGTCCAGTCCATCACTGCATGAGTGACAATCATACAGACAAAAGTAGGTCAAACTTCATGAAAGGATCGGGCCAAGATTTCATGTAACACAACTCTGTTGGAACCTAACCACAAATACTTTGCATGCTAAACGATGCAAATGTGCTAACAGCAGTCTCTTTTCCTTTCGAGCAAGAAAGGCAGGTGAGCTAAGTCAAGTTTCGGAAAAGAGAATATGTCGCATATATGTTTTTTCAACGACAAAGCACACTGCCTAGACAATTTGGCATCCCATGTAAACATCAGGAAATTTGCAAATGGTGATGGAAAACAAGAATTTGCAAATGAACTGGTCAAACCTAAAATCCGAATTGAAACAAGACCATTCAGTCTAGTTTTCTAGACTGATCTGAAAACTGAACATCTTTCAGAAGCCACACACCATATTAAGTTTCAAACAAAACAAATGTAAATTATATGTAAATACAATCTCTTTGAATGTAACACATATTAAGACCAAATAAAGACATGAAGCCATCAGTTTAGGTTAATTTGGCTTGGTAATTCCCTTAAATCGGACATCAGAAGATGATGGCGACGCCAACAGGACCCGGGCAGATACTTGTTAACAACCCAAAATTGGTCTAGCTGAGAGCCTTTAAACAAGTCTTTCTCCCATGCAGGTTTTTCCTGGTCCTGACAAACGAAGCAGTTAGCTGAATCAGATTCATCGAAGCAAAAGAACAAATGCTAATAGCAGCTTGAAAGGTGCCGATGACCAATTATCCAACTATACATGTGACTAAAGATAGCTTGGTCCCTTTCATGGGACCTAAACATTAATAACTTGTTGCTCTGTGTTCTCTTCTAATGAAGAAGACAAACTACATGAAACCGAGTACATTATTTGTACAATTCCACTAAGTAGGAACTATCAATTTGTAAGACGAAACCAATATATTAATGGATAATACAATCTAACAAGAAGACCCAAGACAAGACAGTTTTCCTCTTGTTCTCCCCCTTTGTTATGTTTCTTCTTTTCCCTTGCTTGAAACCATTTGGTGTTTGGGGCAAGCTTCGGAACGACACAAAATTAGGGTTACGACGACAGAGAAGATATTGGCCACCAAACACCTTCTCCCACTAAGGTCCTGTTCTAGATGGACCAACCACCCTTAACTAACTGAGACCGCTCACAGCACCGGTCAAAATAGCATCATGGTAATGGCACAACATAAATAAATATTAAACCTCAACTAATCTCTCTACTAGCCAACTACTTGCAGGTTTGCGTTTTGACGAGGACCATGCAAACTTTTAAGGTTCCTTGGAAAATTTGTAATACAAAGACAATTATTTCATCTGGACTACACAATAAGCATCTTTGCATCACATATTTAACGGTTTCGATTACATATTAATTAGTTCGTGAGAATCAACAGCTATAACCCCAAAAATTATATAACAAATAGATTTACGATGCAATCGGTAAGTGATGAAACGAATAGAAGATAAGAAAAATTACTGAAGAAGCTTTATTGAAGAAATGAAAAATGCTTCAATACATTAATATGTTCCCTCTCCTATTTATACAGATTAGGAGAAAGGATTTCTCTCAACATAATACTTATCTTCTATCAGTAAGAAATGAGAAACCCGTGGATCAAAAGTGAAGATGCCACCACAATCCACAATCTATCCTGAAAACACAAACCCCAAAAGCAAACATTTTAACATGCCAGACAATTGAGTCGGGTCAAGATTGGGTAGACATAGAGCTGCTTGATTAACAACATTCTTTTATGCATCTAAAACGTCATCATCAACCTCGAACAACCATGAATCATCACATTTACATGGTAGTAAAGCAAGCATGCCTGTAACACAAAAAAGATCCGGAATGAAAACAAAAGAACAAAAATGAGAGGGCCATGACATGTTTAGCTGCTCCGACACATACTTATTCAGACATTTATGGATGTCTTTGCCCACGCAATGAACATGAGATGTCATCCACGAAAGCAGACGAATAGTTGCTTCATCATTGACCATAAAGCATGTTCACATCGTTTGCCAATCGACAAAGGCATAGGATGCCAAAATCCCTTAAATCAATTGAGTTCAAGTCAATAACAAATACATTGTGCCAAGTAAAGAGTCTTCTTGTTGCTGTCGTCAATCATTTAATGTCATTCTTTTTATCCATTTACTATTTAGAAAATGACACCATGAACAGAGATCCTTATAGTGATCCCAATGAATCCAATTATGAAGCATATAATATACCAATATATCCTAAATTCTTCAGGGAAAAAAAAAAAGAAGAAGCCAAAAATACCTCATTTGCACAAATGCAAGAGTGTTTGCAGGTCAAAGACGTTCTTCCTCGAGCAAAATCACCAATTTGGAGACTGCCGCAAGCAACAGATCCTCCGTTTCCTCTCCATGACCAGAATCTGTTAGCTCCTTATCGATCCCCCCCTTCATAACATGAACATGACATGGTGAGGAGGATCTCAATCCACTGCTGTCCTCTATCAAGATTAAGACTGGAAGGGGCAAGATCTTCGAAACCCCAAGATTCGATCAGTACCTTCCTCGTTCGTCAGGTAAATGCCGCCGCAAGATTCGATCTTTTCCGACAACAGACCCTTCATCTCCTCAACAACATCTTTCAGACGATAAAAAGGAAGCGCCTTAACCGCGAAATGACACTTCTTTCTCGGCGAGAGCTCGGGACCAGGAGCGGCGGCATCGGCGAGGTCGAAGGGGAGACGACCCGAGCGCCACTGCGCGCCTAATCTAGGGGCGGTGGTTCTGGTTTACTCGGCCGTAACCCTTCGTCCGGTCTCATCCCCTGTCGCGGGCATCCGTGGTCTGGTCTCGCCACCGGCACGTGCTTTTCACGTGCTTTGCGAGGTAACGACAGTGACGACACAAACAAAGGCGAGTATATTATTAAGTTGATGACATTTATTATAATGTGCATTAACTCTCATTGATTAGGAAAAAGTATTTTATTGTTCCAGTAAAGGGTATATATGTAAAACCACAATTATTCTTTATTTACTCATATTACTTTTTCCCTTGTTGGTTGGACGACTTAATCGGAGCGTTGATGAGATTCGATCATGGGCGCGTCTTCGCGACGCAGGAAGCGGATTCCTTTTGACAAGACGAGACTTTTACGAGTGGGGATGAGGTCAGAATCGAATCTTGGCAATGGCCAAGGATTTGGCGTCGAGAATTAAGCTGCCGGTGGTGCTGTCGAAGTCGGGGGTCTTTATGGGGTAGATTATGCCCGGTGAGATGCACTTAGACCTAGTCCTGTAACTTGCTATTCGTCCGTCTGTTTCGATTCTTCGCTTTGTCTGTGTGCTGCCTAGCTCGTGCATTCATGTTCCGACTGGTAGGTGCCTCTTGACCTTCGTGGTGTTCGAATTGAGGGTTCTAGCTTTGATCTTGGCCCCCTTTTTCTGTTTTCTTTCAGTATTTGTTATGTTAATTGTAATAGATTTGGCGTCTAGTTTGTGCTTCTTGTCTAAGCCATGAAATATTTTGCAGAGAACTTAGTTTCATATTTGACCGACAAAATTTTGCTCCTTCCACGCTTGGGCAAAGTGCTTTGATTAACATACTAGCAAATTTTGACAATAAATAAGCTTCAGATCAAAGTTGCAAATTTTGGAGAAGGGTATAACGATGATAATAGCTATGCTCACTTGATGTTGTAAATTGCATAACTTTTTAGATCAAGGCATTAGCAAATATTCTAGTTTCTGAATCTGACAGTTATATAACTAATAGCAAAGAAAACTTTTGAGTAAATACATTGAAGAAGTACCAAAATCTCTCAGACTTTGCTCTAACAACACATTAAGAGAATCTTAATCAATATATCCAGTCATCTACTATAGTCTACACCTGAAAAAGATTTTGGCTGCAGAGTAAGCTCGACATAATTTTCGGATAAAAAGATCATTCTTTTCGGAAACTTTCAACAAGTGTTAAGATTTTTGTTTTGCAGTCTCATCATAGGTCAACAGGAAAAGTTCTCCAGAATGTGTAATATAGGTTTTACCTGACATGAGATGTAACAGAGGTCTAGACTTGTCTGGATCCAATTTGAATACTTTGCTTGTGTCTGATTTAATTCTTAGTTGTGCATATTTCAAGTTTGTAATCTCTTGTTTATTGATTGACTGTAGCCCTGGTCTTTTAGATTTTAGTTTGGAACCCAGTTAAAATATCTGAGCAGTAGTGATCTTTATGTTCTCTACAATACAACTTACAGTTGTCTTCACCCTGGTGGTCTTAATGCACATAGAACACTTCTGTTATTTTTCTGGTTCATAACCTGCATCAGTTCTGCTGAACTTTGGACTTGTAAGCTTTGGCACTATTCTCTGGGCTTAAAAATTTTTTATTTAGTTTGCAGGTTCTTCATCTGATGCTGGTAAAGGGAGAAGTTCTCAAGGTCACACAAAAGTGAAATATGGATTTAGCCTTGTGAAAGGAAAAGTAAACCATCCAATGGAGGATTATCATGTTGCCAAGTTCGTGCAGATGAGAGGACAGGAGCTTGGTCTCTTTGCTATATTTGATGGTCATATGGGACATAGCGTACCTGCCTACTTACAGAAGCATCTATTTACCAATATTTTGAAAGAGGTGCATAAATATTGTTTTCTTCCTTTTAAGTTTCTAGTTGCTAAATGTGGAGTTTACATATCATCAAAGAGGTTAAGCAATTTAGAGCTAGCAAAATGTATATCCTTTTATTTGATTCCCCATGGATACAGGAAGAATTTTGGACTAATCCCAAAGTAGCAATTCAAAAAGCTTATGAAAAGACGGACGAGGCAATTCTTTCACACAGGCCTGATCTCGGGCGAGGTGGATCTACTGCTGTTACTGCAATTCTCATAAATGGTAGGAAATTGTGGATAGCTAATATTGGTGACTCACGAGCAGTTCTTGCAAAAGGTCAACAGGTGCTACAGTTGACAGTTGATCATGATCCCAGCACTGAACGTCGGAGTATTGTGAATACAGGTGGCTTTGTCTCAATCATGCCAGGTACTATAGAGCAACCTATGCCTGAATCACATTGTGCTAACATATGTTCTTGCGATGAATTTCAGTTATATGCTTTATGTCCTTCAATCGAATTCCTTATTATTGTTAATATGTCAGTATGATGCAACATTTTGGCAAATATTTATGTTGTGAACAAGATATGAAGGATGAGCATTAGGAACATGTTAAGTATCTGTAAAAAAAAGGAGGATCAAGATCGGCCGGATCTTCTACTCCTCTCCTCATTCTTCAGTGCCTATCGTAACAAGCACGAAGAAGATAGGGGATGGGAGTGACCTTCCTCTTGTCCTTATCATTTTATCCTACTGCCAAAGGCTTGAACAGAATCCTTGTTACATTAAAACAAAATTACGAATAATGAGTTGGGATTCATCAGATTCACTAATGGTCCGCACCTGGCATCAGACCAGTCTGTGGAGTCAGGTCAAATGGTCACATTACTTATCAAAAGCATGGATGTTCATTCTTTCTCTTCGTTTGGATGGCCATGCTTCATGCTACCAGTTAGGCTTTGTTAATGAGGTTGTGCACTTGTTTGTTTGTAGAATACCTGTGTTCTATGACTTTAATGTAAAGATGGAAGATATTTTTTTATCTTTGTCATTTCTAATTTGACAAGATTTCATATGAATCTTGTTTTTTTGCTTCCTCAGGTGATGTCCCAAGAGTCAATGGCCAGTTAGCTGTTTCCCGAGCTTTTGGTGACAAGGATCTCAAACGGCACTTGCGATCAGATCCTGATGTATGTTGTGTAGATGTTACCGCAGATATTGATCTGCTCATCCTTGCTAGCGATGGAATATGGGAGGTTTTCTTCTTCAATCCTAAACTTTCATACTTGAACAATGCTCTAAGAAAAACATGTATTTACTTGGAGTTCCATTTAGGTCATGAGTAATAAAGAGGCAATTGAGATTGCTAGAAAGGCTACAGATCCACAAGCAGCGGCAAGGCAACTAACTACTGAGGCATTGGAAAGAGACAGCACAGATGACATATCATGTGTTGTCATCGAATTACAGGCGTAACTAACACTTCTATCGGTCGATGATCATCACATTAAGGGAAATCATCGATGCTGCTTCATAAGGTTCTCACAAGTTGGAAATACCTAAAACTTTGGCTTTCTCCAATAGAAGAAATTGAAAAAACACAAGTGACACTTGTTCCATTTGGTATCACTTGTAAATGCATTCACGCTTGTTGATGAGTTTGACATTAATTGACTCCTCGAATGCATTTGGTGAACAGGCAGACTGGCAGACCCTCCTTGAAGGCTTGAATCACTTCAGTTAACAATTTGGTGGGATCTCTTGCCTTCTTTTTCTTCCCCCTCCTTTTTTGTCTGCCTAGCTACAAGAAGAGCTTGGAGTGTGTTACCCTGTTGGTAGTGTTGCTGATAATAATAATCTTTTCCTTGTCGTAAACCATCGGAGCTTTTACATTTTAGTATAGTACATCTGGATGCATTCACTCTTGTGAAGAAGATGAGGTATTGGTTTTTGAACAATTGAAAAGGAATAATGGTCAGTGCTGAATAGTTTACAAGTAATGTTTGTTGATCTTGTTTCAGCATACTAGGATAACTTTGAGACTGATGATAACAAGAAACTAAGATGGTGTTTGGTTCATTGGTGGGGGCTATAAATAAGTTGCATTAAATTTGGAGAAGCATGATGAAGTATCAACCTTTGTATACTATATTATTGTACATGATAATATATGATCTGTACTGCAAGGATTATTATCAACTCCTCCATGTTATGCATCTTCATGTGCATAACATGCAGAGAACAGAGTAGGGAAGAATTTTCTGGACTTGAAATTGCACAACATGCTCCCACAAGAAGCCATCACAGCATTCAGCAGCTCTTGAGGCCTCCAAAAGTCATCACCATGGAGTGAACAAGAACTGCCATCCCCACACACAGCTTGTTGCAGTGTGAACAAGAACTCCATAAGTGAATCCTCACTTGTCCACACCTTTGACCCAGACCTTTAAATCACACTGTGAGCTTGATAAATGTGCATTGTCTCTTAGCCAAGAATCCAAATGACATTGGAAGACAGTAGCAGCATGTTGAATGACACAGAAACACTGTGAAGTCAGAAGGCCACAATAAAACTGGTCAAAGTTGTCAAGCAATTGCAAGGAGACAAATTGAGATGCCCATGTATGACAAATTGGTTTACTGATGCAGCACATAGTCCTTGGAAGTGCCATTAGCCTTTATTGCCACAACAGTGAGTTAAGTGTTCATCTCACTCTGTGAGAAACATTCATGGAATTAATCTATTTTGTGTCAGGAAGATGAGCTCTAC